AAAATATTATTTTACACACAATCTCCACAGGCAGATGAAAAAGAGGACTGACCCTCTTATTGAGCTACAATGGGGGTCTGTTCTTGTATATCTAGCTTGATCTCCTCTCCCAGTTCTAAGTCAATGGTCCAGAAATCATCAGCACCTTACATGTTCAGAGGTCAGAGCACTTACCGGAGTCAGGATGCCTTGGAGTAAAACGCATAGCCACATTAGGGAACTGACCAGCACATAATCCATCTTGTACAGCAGTCCCTTGTCCTGAAGGTTGTCCTTTGAAGTCAGTCCTAAATCTGGTGAGCCAATTGTTGAGGTCTGGCGGGGGGGTTTATATGCAGATTCATTCATATGCACAGTCTGTTCAGTAGGGAGAAGGTAATAGAGTCAGATGAGGAAGGGCTGGCATAGACTAGGAAACAGGGACAGAGTTTAGTTCCAAAAGGTTACCGCTATCCAGCCACCCCCAGCCTAAGTAAACTCCTGCAAAGCAAACAGAACATTCTTTTACCCAAAAAAAGAAAATAGTCAAATTGAGCAGGATTTGCTGGTGTCACAGGAGAATGTGTGTGCATTGACCTCCTCTTCTTTCTTCTCTGCCCGTCTCATTATGTGCCCCTGGCTGGATCCCTCTCTTTTTCTCCCCCTTTGTCTGGCTTATCCTGCCTTTCCTCTCTGGGATGTGACTTGTACTAGGCAGAGGACCCTGACTCCTTCCACAGAAAGGTAGAGAGATAGACAGATAAGCTGGGAATGGGATGGTGGATGGGAGGGAAAGAGAAAGATGAAACATTATGAAAGGAGAGAGCAGAGCACTCACAGTCCGCAGCTTGGGAATACACAGCACATTGTGACACTGTCTGTGTAGTTGTGTGCTGGAGTAAGGAGAGGTGCTACTCGGAGGCACGTCGATTTGTGAGTCATTAGTTATCTTACTATGACTCAGTTGCTACTTTGAGAGACATGCAGTTGTTAAGGTGGTGGAAACTACATTATAGCTGAACTCCGGGATAAACAATATACACAATAAATACAAAAAGGCGTGTATATTCTTATTGAATCTTGGTGTGCTTTGTGTATTTCTTCCAGATCCATGCAGTAATCTAGTGTGAGAATACTGCTTTGTGCAGGAGCTTCCTGTATTAAAGACCGGTCACTGCTGCTCTCTTTCCTTGTGCAGGGTGATTGGTCTTGTCTCCGCCTCTCCTGTAGTTTTCTGCTGCCTGTAGTAGGTGGAGCCTGTTGGGTCCCTCCCACAGCGCTGCACTCTGCACAGGCTATTTACAGCACAGTGATTATATCACTGCTACATTTATATGGTAATATCTGGGCTTGCAAAGGCTTCTGGTGCGCACAAAGTAGATGTATGTGCTTTGTGGCTATTGTGGAATGTATTCAAATGAAAGTGCAAAATAAATGTAAAAAAATTTGAGCTTTAAAGGAAAGCTGTCACAAGGGAAGCATTGTATCTGCCGTTGCGAACCTTTTCTTGTCAAAATGCTAATTGCCTGGCTGTCTTTTTCTTCAATACTTCTAATCAATGTTCACAAAGTATTAAAGACCAACTCCACCCCAAAAAGCAATTATATTCTTACTGACTCTTATACACACACACACTTACACACATACACATAAACGTTGAATTGGATGGACCTATGTCTTTATTCAACCATAAAGCAGAATGCCATGTAAAAATTAAAAGAGAACAATGGGGTAAGTGTTTTTCCCCATAGTTCTCTTTAGGGTCACGGGAGGACATATACTAACCTCCTCCCGTGACCCAAAGCTCAGTATATAGCGGGCTATTGCTCGCAACTTAACCCTAAAAGTGACTTCGTGAAAAAAAACAATAACTTGGCATCTCATTAAAAAAAGATTTTGCTGCAATACCTACCTCGTGTCTTGTGCTGCCCCTCGAAGACTCATCTTGCAGGTTAAATTGCATCCAGCACTATTCAATCCACTTCATGCAGCTGGAAAGGGAGCCTCTGCTGTCTCTACAACATTCTCAGCTATCTCCTGCACTTTGCAGGATCTGACTGTTAAACTCACAGCTCAGTCCTGCAGATTATAGGGAGAGCTTTATGTATCAGGAGCACCATCAGCACTTGATTAAACTGGTACAGCCACTCCTCATGTGACAGCCAAGTCCTCCTCTTTACTAATGATAAATATAGGATGTAGTTGCAGCCTTTATTCATTAAGTTAGTGCTATGTGTACATAAAAGTATGTATGTTAAAATAAAAAAGTTTTTTTTCCATAAAAGTTTAGCCCCTGTAAGAAGGACACTCCACTGTAGTCCAGGTAAGTCAAGTATAATGCAGTTTATTAAAGGGCAAACACAAAATAGCTTGCAGCAGCAACATAAGACAGTCCTTGTTATGGCTCTGTAGCTTTCCTCAGCTTCAAGACACTCACGCTGCTCACCCCTCGTGAGCCCTCACTCTGCTCTCTTAGCAGTCTGTACCGCAGGTCCTAGGGTCACCGACCTTCCTGACCTCTCCCCTCGTGGGCACTCGCTCTGCTCTCCCAGCAGTCTGTACCGCAGGTCCTAGGGTCACCGACCTTCCTGACCTCTCCCAGCCACCCCTGGCTGTTCCGTGTGCGTCCAGCACGCACCCGAGGTGGTCCGTGTGCGTGTGCTCCCTGCACACACACAACTCCAACACTCCCTGAGCACTGGGCTGGCTTCCTGATAAGGCTGCTCTCAGCCACCTGATTAGCCCAGGCTGGTCATTGGCAACACCTGGCCCCAGGACTGGAGATCTCATCCCACCCAGAGCTCTACGAAATCTCCAGAGCTCCAGATCCCAGCTGCAAATAGGAAAACCTGGAATAACCTGAAAAGCCAGGTTCTTCCTTATAACATGCTTTACCTTCTGGACCCTCTCAGCCCCTTTGGCCGAGAGTCCTGGGTACCAAGGTCGCCATCCTCCACCGTGGCATTGGCTTACACTGCCACACCCCTCATTAGCCCATACTTAACCCTAATTATTTGTTTTAACTCCTCTATCCCCTTCTTCCCTAAGCAATTATGTAGTTTTTACTGTTTCTATATAAATACATTTGTTTTTGTTTGTTTTTGCATTATACAGCCTATATATCTGCAGTGTGAGATCTAAGGCACTGCTGCCTCTGCTAGTCTGAGGAGATGTGGAGCGAGTTTAGGTGATGTCACTATTATGCTGCTTACTATTCTCTGTAGGCTCTGATATGAGGATGCAAAATCCTGCCTCTACCAAGATGGCCAGCCAGAGCTTTAGCTAGCTCCTTTTGCAATCGAGGCAAGAACAGAAAATTGTGCCCCCCCCCCAACAGGCATGTGATGTCACCAGACACCGCGCACGCCTCCAGGATGTGTTGTTTTTTGTTTTGTACTGTTGGGGGGGGGCTTCGCGGAAATATTAGGAGTCTAAACAGACCCCTGACATTTTGCTTTTGAAATAGAAAAAGAAATTGAGGGCCCAGAGTCCTCAATCTCTTTTTCTGCGGCCTCTATTCTAAATGAATGGAAAACACTCAGTACAGAGGCTTCCCATTAATTCACAAACTGGTGATAGTAATTATTTTACTATCATCCAGTTATGAATGGATTGAAGCCTCTCTACCAAGTGCTACTACCCATTCAGAAATTCATGAATGAACAGTAAGTGATGTAAAGCACTTCCTGTTTATTCATTACTGGGGACACATAATACTATGGCAGTAGAAAGGCATCATGGCACACTCACAAACCAGCATGTAAAACAACTTGTCTCACCACTAAGGACAATGACAGAGGTTTGGATACACGTCTTCTGCAAAGGATGTGTAAGCCGCACTGCCGCGCCAAGGCACCTCTTATAGTGCGGTCCTAACTCTAAACTATGAGAGTACATGTTGTTTTATATGCTGGTTTGTGAGTGTGCCATGATGCCTTTCTACTGTTTTACTGTTCAAAGCCCATTTCGTGTGCACTTTACTGTATAACTGGTAACAAATTGTTGAGTGCGTTTGTCGTTTGTTTTGCTTGACATAATACTATGAGTCCCCAGTTTTTTTACAAACACTGGAGTGATCAACTGATCACTCCAATGTTTGCTATGCACAGAGGATCGGTAAACATCAGAGATATTTACCGCTCCTCTGCTCCCCATCCTGAGCTGCTCAGCCACGCACATAGGGGCGGCACAGCCTGCAGCTTCTCCTCGGATCCGCCATTAGATCCTGGCCGAACGTCTCTTTCTCTCCTCACTGCTCGGCAATCCTGGATGATAGCTCCCTCCTCCGACCCGCCCCCCCCTACCGGCTTCAGCTCTACATTTTTTCTTGAATCACCGCTGCCTCTGCCCATACAGGTGCAGGAGAGCAGCGGGGATCTGAGGAGAAGCTGCATGCTGTGCCACTCCTCTACTCCCTGCCTCCCCGAGGCCGAGTTGTGCTGACCGCCTGGTGCCCCTGTTACCATTGCACCGTGTGCTCACCACCCTTCCTGCGGCCAGCCCCTTACCGAGACACAGTACAGTGCAAGGCATGATAAGTCAGCAATAGGGAAAAGATCAGCTGCAGGGAGACCACAGGCAATACTGGTGACTAGTTATTTGGCCTTTGCTTGTGTGTCTTGGGAATGTGTTTTCAACTTGTTGGAGAAGGACAGACCTGCGGCCAGAGGAGGATGGAAATGCGGCTAGAGGAAGGCGGACATGCGGCCAGAGGAGGGTAGATACGTGGCTAGTGGAGGGTGGATATGTATAAGGAAGACATTACAATCACAATACAATTCAAGACAAGATGGTAAGGAGGGCCCTGCCCCTGAGGGCTTACAATCTAAAAATATAATAATGTAATAATGGCAGATAACAGAACTTGAAGTCTCATAAATCCCACTGAATTTGGGCAAACATACATAACTTTAGTACATCGCGAAACATTTTTCTTTATAAATCATCCACACATCAGAAAACAAAGCTATATGCAAGGAATTCTTTACAGAGGGTAGCACATTCTTCACATACTATAACATTGCAGTTAGGACTTTTTGTAGAGTGTATAACCTGACATTGTAACCTGCTTAATTACTGACATTCCACAAAGACAGCACTGTCCTTATTAGAGGTCCTTTACCTCTATAATGTCAGCTCTAGAAGGGGAAATACCAACCCTGATCTTATTAGTACATCTTATTTATCTTTTCTACAGAAATGTACTAAGAGTATTGGTTATTGTGGTTGTGATGGAAGAAAAATATTACCCCACATTTAATGCTGACAGCCTCATCTTGTTTATATCTCACAATACAGACAATTACTTTCTGTGGTATATGCAGATATCAGTACTCAGTGATATTTTTTGACCATAAAATATGATTTGTGGTATTCATGGTAATTTATGTAGTATTTTAGGTATGCCCAGTGGTCATCACAGTGTCATCCACATTTAAAAGATGCCAGCTGTCACTAGGTCATTCTGTTCTGTCAGTCTGTCAGTCTTGTGATTCACTCCTGCCATACTGTGTTGACATTTAAGTGACACACTTATTTCCTGTTTGTATCTCCCTAAGCCACCTCCTCTTAGGTCTCTAACATGCACATTGGGCAATAAATCAACATCATTACCTCCGTCCAATAAGCAGGGAGGTGATCTAGTCGTGTGCACCTTACTGTATAACTGGTAAC